AGGAGGCGGGTCTACGTAGCAGTTAAGCCAATTGCTAATTTAAGATATGAATGTATGACATAAAATGTAGTCAATAAGCGATCTTAAATCGAATCCAAGGAGGGCGATTATTTTATCGCCCCAAGCTCGCCCCTGATAAAATAAGGACCGGGGTCCAGTGACGCCATTTTTACTAGACAACAATGGCGAACGCAAACGTTACTCCTCCAAGACCCAACCCTAACTCGGTGAAATCTCTCCTCCAAGATCCGTTTGAGAGGAGAACTTTGTCAGAGAAAGTTCGGGTGAAAGAGCTGGGCCCAGATCAACCTGACCTCTCAATCAGACAGCAGGCTAGCGAGAAAGGGAAGCAGTATATGCGCGGCTTCTCCCGTAGCTGGTACACCAGGAAGGCTTGGCTAGCTGGGTGCACTGATGCTAATGCTTTATTTTGCTTTCCGTGCTTGCTTTTTAAAACGACGGGGTCAGATTCAGCATGGACAGGTACCGGAGTGAGGGATATGAAGCACCTGTCAGAGAAGGTAAAGAAACATGAGAACACCAGGGCACACATGGACAACTCTGTAAAGCTAGCTGTATTAGGAAGGGTGAACATTGCTACGCAGCTGGATGACGGCCACAGGATTGCGGTGAGGAAACACAATGAGGAGGTGGATAAAAACAGGCACATTCTATCCAAAATTATCGATTGTGTGAAGTTCTGTGGGGCTTTTGAGTTGGCCTTGCGTGGGCACGAGGAGACTGACTCCTCAGACAACCCCGGCATTTTCCGGGGCTTAGTGGATTTTGTTGCCTCCCTCGACAGTGTGCTGGAGGAGCACCTGAAGACAGCTACCGTTTTTAAGGGCACGTCAAAGACGATACAGAACGAGCTGTTGGACTGTATGCTGTCAATGCTTAAGGATTACATCCTGGAGGAAGTAAAGAGTGCTGATTTTATCGCCATTCAAGCTGACGAGACGACTGACGTTTCCACCCACTGCCAGTTGGTGCTTGTGTGAGTGATTATCATAGAGCCGTCACAATTATATTTGTTTTAGTATTTTAAAAGGAAAGAGAAGACACAATCAGACGTTGATAATAATGCAGGAAAGTACTACACAGTTTGTAATAATTATTCATGTGTCCACCAGGTCAATTTCTAGAAGAGGCCTAGTTGTTATTGAATATTAACTTTATTGCTAAGTGAACAGCAGAACAAAATGATGTTGCATCCCTCTCACAAATGTAATAGAAAAAGGCTTTAAAACGTAATAACATCAGTTAATTATGTACATCACAGGTTAAAAGCAGTTACTAGACATAGTTTGTGTGTATATACACACTGTCTGTCTGTCTGTCTGTCTATATATATATATATATATATATATATATATATATATATATATATATATATATATATATATATAAAAGTCACTGGTTGTGTGTTGAGGGGGAATTACAGTGAGTTAAGAAGTCTGATTGCAAGTTATCAAATTAAACTTTATTTTTTGGACCCAGGGCCTCAATTCCCTCTTTGTGTGGGCACAGCGTATCTGACGAGCAGCAACAGCCCATCAAGCGACGGAGGATGCTGGGACCAGGAGAACAACAGAGGTTGGCTATAGAGGTAAGTTGTGATGTAATTGTCAGTGTTTCCCACCTAGAACTTTTTTCAGGCCTGGTAGTATGTAGCCAAAACCCTGAACAATCAGCACCTTGGTAATCATATACTTGAGTTGGACATAGGCATGTGTCAGTCAGGATCACTTGCATCAAAATAGCTTAATTGCAAATTAAAGCTGATGATGTATCTTTTACAGGTATGTGATACCATCCTGAGTCATGCCAAAGAGAGGTTCTCCTTCACCCAGCACCTCATCAGCGCAACACTATTGCACGGAGAGTTGTTCCCACAACACAGTGTGAAGTTCCCCGATACAGCGCTTGAAACAACCGTGGAGGCGTACCCCATGTTGAACAAGGCCAAGCTCAAAACCGAACTGTCCCTCATCTATGAGAACAGTGAGTTCAAGGCTTGTAGTGGTGCAGTGCCCCTGTACCAGTTCTTCATGGAGAACAACCTTCAGAGCACTTTCACAGAGACTGCCAGCCTCCTCAAGATCCTCATCACCACACCCATGACAACTGCTGAGTCAGAATGGTGCTTCTCTACACTGAAAAGGATCAAGACCTTCCTGAGAAACAGCATGACACAGGATCGCCTGAACGCTCTGGCCATGCTCTCCATGGAGAAGAAACTTGTCAGGGACATTCCTGACTTTAATCAAAGGGTCATTGAGAGGTTTGCCACTCAGAAGGACAGACGGGCAAAATTCCTGTACAAATAAGATGACAGACACACACACACAGAGCAGCTCTGGCCGCATGTTTCTTTGTATATAGTTGACCTTAGCATAAAAAATCCAGTTATATATGGTACTCTAGAAAGTCTTAATAGTGTCTTTGCTAATATTACTGTATATAGGTTGTTTTGTATCAATTAATTGTTGCAGTTCTGGAGCACATTAACAATTAGTCACATTTAGTATGATCATAAAATACTGTATGCTATTCTTCCAGTCAAAGGTTTGAGTTCATCCACTTGATATCCATTTCTATATTATACATCCTTTTATACAGTGTAAGATTTCCTATAAACTTTATAATAATTTCATGTTATTGTCCACTTTCCACTCTGTTCTGACAGCATGCCTGTTGCGTTGCCTGTTTACTACCAATGGTGAAAAGTTCACTTTAAATGCAAATGAAAGGCTTGGGTTTGTGTAATATGTTTTTGTGTAAGAATGCCTCAACTTTTTAATATTGGCATTAAATAATTACTGAATGTTTCACTGAGCACTGCTGTCCTGCAGTTTGTGTTAAAATATATCGCGATGGTTACAGGAAAAAAAAAGTATGGCACAGCCCCACCGAGAATATTTTTCACCAGCCGCCACTGCTATACAGTGTTTTTTTTTTACATTTACTTTGTTTACAAACATTGGAGTAAAACAAGCTTATATTTTGGGTTCTGATGAGCTAAACATGAGGCATTTATTTATTCGTTATATAAAATCAATGGGTACATTACATTTTTATAAGTCCAAAAATGTATGTAGCAAGTAAGGATTGCCCCTTTAACAGGCAATGACCTTCATACAGCAGAACTATGTCGCCATTTGAAAGTGATCCATTAAACATTAACAAAAAAATATTCCGTCCACTGTTTCGTGAATGTCCCGCATAATCATTCCCTTGTCCCACATTTGGGCTTTTTAGATGTGGTCACCCTAATTCCACTGGAGGAAACATTGCTACTGCAACATGTTAACAAAAAAAATCAGGAGAATAACGTCAGGAGAATAACATTATTTCAACCCCACATGTGAACATGAAAGCGAGATTTTCACATGTGGAGTTTTCTTACATGTGAAACTGCAAATTAGATTTTCACTTTCACATGTGGAATTGCAAGTTCACGTGCAAAAACTATCACATGTAAAAATCAAATCTGCAGTTTCATATGTGAAAAACTTTTACATATGAAAATCTCACTTTCACATGTGAAATTATTAGTGTTGCAAAATTCTGGAAACTTTCAATAAATTCCCTGGTTTTCCAGAAATCCTAGTTGGAGGATTCCGGATTTCCTGCTTATTCTCTCCTCGTTCCGGAAGCCTCCAAACGGCATTATGGGAAAACCAGGGATTTTATTGAACGTTCCTGGAATTTTGCAACCCTAGGAAACACAAGTTCACATGTGAAAACTGTTTTTTTTGTAAGGGCAGGCAATAGTTAAAACACAATCATACAGTGTTTCTAAACTACAGCTTCAATCAACTACAATGCAATCTACAGTGCATGATAAAAACAACAATCTGCACCAACTAGTAACTACAGCCATTCTCTGTGTTCACAAAAGAGCCATGTTGAGAGCAGAGGAGGCTGGTGGGAGGAGCTATAGGAGGACAGGCTCATTGTAATGGCTGGAATGGAGTCAAACGTGTGGTTTCCATATGTTTTTATTAAGTAGTCTTGTCCCATCGCTGCAACTCCCCTACGGACTCGGGAGAGGTGAAGAGCCATGCGTCCTCCAAAACCCAACCCTGCCAAGCCACACTGCTCGCTTAACCCGGAAGCCAGCCACACCAATATGTCGGTCTAAACACCGTCCAGCTGGCGACCGAAGTCAACTTGCAGGCGCCCAGCCCGCCACAAGGAGTTGCTAGAGCGCAATGGGACAAGGAAATCCCGGCCGGCTAAACCCTCTCCTAACCCGGATGACGCTGGGCCAATTGTGCGACGCCTCATGGGTCTCCCAGTCACGGCCTGGGATCGAACCCGGGTCTGTAGTGACTCTTCAAGCACTGCGACAGAATGCCTTAGACAGCTGCGCCACTCGGGAGGCCTGGTTTCCATATGTTTGCTGTGTTTGATACTATTCCATTCCAGCCATTACAATGAGCCCATCCTCCTAAAGCTCCTCCCACCAGCCTCCTCTGGTTGACACAATCTTTAGTCATTAGCCAATCCTTTGGAAGAGGAACATCGATTCTGTTAGTAAAGATACAGCAGCAGCTGTCAATCTATGTCTACGAAGCGCAGCAACATGCAAAAGATTTGAAACAGACCACACATTCATAGCAGCTTTTCTTCTACCACACGCTTGGGAAGATGTTACACACATGTAACATCTGCTGGTTGAATGCGTCCATTGGTTAGAAAGCATATCCAAACACCTTTATGTCATCAGGGAGTCCAAAGCTTCTACAACTGGGTTGCTTCAGTGAAAGCAGTGTCTCCTTTCTAGTCAATATACAGAACTATGGTGATCTAAATCAAAAGATCTAAAAGTAACCGGATAGTGTAAGCAATATGGTAGAAACTCTTCTAGTCCCATTGGAAGCCTGCAGGTTGAGCCATCACAATTTCACCTTTAAACCTATCCTGTCTCTGTATATGTACAAACACAGGCTTTGTGCTCCCTGATGGACACATGGAAATAGCACCATCTCCTTTCAAACTCTGTCTTCTGTGTGAAGGACCAGGGACAGGGTGGAGTTGGGGGTAGTGGCTAGGGGGTTTATGTTATTAGGGGTTGGTGTGGGAGTGGGGTTGTCTAACCCTGGGGACTTCATCTCTGGGGCGGACTTTCTCCTGGCCTGGCTGTAATATAAGTGCAGGGAGGGGGAGGACATGTTCCTGGGTTTGCTGCTCAGGGTGTGGCCTACTCCTGTGTCCAGTCTGTATGGGAGAGACATGGGGGTCAGATGCAACACACACACACACATGCATGCACGCACACGCACACACACATTCAAACACTTGAAGCGTAGCAAGGAAGGACAACTACAGGCACCACGTACCCGCTACAATTACATTCTCCAAAACAGACTACCACTACTAGAATCCACTACTAAACTACAGTAGATTCCACTCTATTAAATCAGTAAATTAATCTTGACTCTGGGGCTCAGCGGCTGCTGCTGAGGAGGACCCACTATGGTGTCCAGCCTGGGATGGAGAGGTACATAGGAGGGTCAGATATACACACGCACACAAACACACACGTTAATGAAGTGGAGAAGGTGAACATATATAGAAAGGTGTGTGTGTGTGTGTCTGTGTGTCTGCCTGTGCGTGTAGTGTGTGCACTCTTAGAAAAAAAGTAGAACCCTCTGTGGAAAGGGTCCTAAATGAAATCCAAAAGGGTTCTACCAGGAACCAAAAGGGTTCTACCTGGAACCAAAAGGGTTCTACCTGGAACCAAACATAGTTATTCAAAGGGTTCTCCTATGGGGACAGCCGAAGAACCCTTTTAGGTTCTAGATATCTCATTTTTTTCTAAGAGTGTGTGTCTGTGCATCTCACCTAGTCTGTAGACTCTTGATTCTGTAGAGCATATCCAGGTGTCCTGCAGAGTACTGCTCTATCACATCCTTCACATCGTATGGACGCAGAGTCTCCTTAAACTTCTTCTTTGCTACATGAAACTTCATGATCCTGAGTGGAAAAGTGGGGAGAATAAAACAGAGCCGTCATTGTTCTACCTGTCATCTCGTAGTCAGCCACTAGAGGGAAACAACAGCTTAACTATGCATAACTCTGTACGTTGGCAAGAAGATGACTGTTGTTATTGTAGCCTTTACTTTTTTATTTATTTTATTTTTTAAACAAGATCAGCTTTTTATTTTTTTTACTTTTTTGTTGTGTTCCATCACATTTACATTATATACAGTACCAGTCAAAAGTTTGGACACAGCTACTCATTCAAGGGTGTTTCTTAATTTTTACTATTTTCTACATTGTAGAATAATAGTGAAGACATCAAAACTATGAAATAACACATATGGAATTATGTAGTAACCCAAAAAGTGTTAAACAAATCAAAATATATTTTATTTTTGAGATTATTCAAAGTAGCCACCCTTTGCCTTGATGACAGCTTTGCACACTCTTGGCATTCTCTCAACCAGCTTCATGAGGTAGTCACCTGGAATTCATTTCAATTAACAGGTGTGCCTTCTTAAAAGTTAATTTGTGGAATTTCTTTCCTTAATAATATAATAATAATATGCCATTTAGCAGACGCTTTTATCCAAAGCGACTTACAGTCATGCGTGCATACATTTTTGTGTATGGGTGGTCCCGGGGATCGAACCCACTACCTTGGCGTTACAAGCGCCGTGCTCTACCAGCTGAGCTACAGAGGACCTTCATAATGTGTTTGAGCCAATCAGTTGTGTTGTGACAAGGTAGGGGTGGTATACAGAAGATAGCCCTATTTGGTAAAAAACCAAGTCCAAATTATGGCAAGAACAGCTCAAATAAGCAAAGAGAAATGACAGTCCATCATTACTTTAAGACATGAAGGTCAGTCAATCCAGAACATTTCAAGAACTTTGAAAGTTTCTTCAAGTGCAGTCGCAAAACCATCAAGCACTATTATGAAACTGGCTCTCATGAGGACCACCACAGGAAAGGAAGACCCAGAGTGTGATGAGGTCAGGCGCAGGAGGGTAAATCACAGAATAACAGGCTTTATTCCGCAACCACAGAGTTACGCAGGAACGTGTCAAAACACTCCAGTGCGCAAAACAGGCACACTGGAAAATACAAGGCACACAGGAAAATCCCGGTGATACAAAATACAAGGAGCTCCACAGAGCTTCACTACTCTCCACAATAAACAATCACACACAAAGACAAGGGGGCAGAGGGAACACTTATACAGGTACTGATGAGGGGATATGAACCAGGTGTGTGTAATAAACAAGACAAAACAAATGGAATGATGAGATGAGGAGCGGCAGTGGCTAGAAGGCCGGTGACGACGAATGTCGAAGCCTGCCGAACCAGGAGAGGAGGCAGCTTTGGAGGAAGTCGTGACAGTATCCCCACCTTGACGCGCAGCTCCAGCAGCGCGCCGACACTGGCCTCGGGGACGGCCAGGAGGACGTGGAGCAGGGCGAGCCGGATTGCGACGGTGGAAATCCCGCAACAGGGAGCGATCGAGGATATCCCTCACCGGGACCCTGCACCGCTCCTCCGGACCGTACCCCTCCCACTCCATGAGGTACTGAAAGCCCCCCACCCGACGCCTCGAATCCAGGATGGAACGGACGGAGTACGCCGGGGTCCCCTCGATGTCTAGAGAGGGCGGAGGGACCTCCCGCACCTCAGACTCCTGGAGCGGACCAGCCACCACCGGCCTGAGGAGAGACACATGGAACGAGGGGTTAAAACGATAATCTGGCGGGAGTAATAACCTATAGGTAACCTCGTTTATTTTCCTCAGGACTTTGAACGGCCCCACAAACCGCGGGCTCAGCTTCCTGCAGGGCAGGCGGAGGAGCAGATTCCGGGTCGAGAGCCAGACCCGATCACCTGGTACAAAGACCGGGGCCTCACTGCGGTGGCGGTCAGCATTGGCCTTCTGGCAATGCACGGTGCGTTGGAGGTGGACGTGAACAGCGTTCCACGTCTCCTCTGCGCGCCGAAACCAGTCATCCACTCTCTGATGGCTCTGATGCCACGGTACCAGAACCGGCTGATAACCTAAAACATATTGAAATGGTTTTAGGTTAGTGGAGGAGTGACGGAGAGAGTTCTGGGCATATTCAGCCTATGGCAAGAACACCGACCACTCCCCCGGCCGGTCATGGCAGTAGGACCGCAGAAACCTACCCACATCCTGATTCACCCGTTCCACCTGCCCATTAGACTCGGGGTGAAAACCAGAGGTCAGGCTGACCGAGACCCCCAGACATTACATGAACGCCTTCCAGACCCTGGATGTGAACTGGGGACCCTGGTCAGACACTATGTCCTCTGGCACCCCTTAGTGCTGGAAGACATGTGTAAACAGGGCCTCCGCAGTCTGCAGGGCCGTGGGGAGACCGGGCAGAGGAAGGAGGCGGCAGGCTTTGGAAAAGCGGTCCACAATGACCAGGATGGTGGTGTTACCTTGAGAGAGGGGAAGATCAGTAAGGAAATCAATACTCAAGTGGGACCATGGCCTTTGTGGAACTGGTAAGGGCTGTAACTTACCAGCTGGGAGGTGCCTAGGTGCCTTACTCTGGGCGCACACCGAGCAGGAGGAGACATACACCCTCCCGTCCTTAGCCAAGGTAGGCCACCAGTACTTTCCGGTCAGGCAGCGCACTGTATGACCGATACCTGGGTGACCAGAGGAGGGGGACGTGTGCTCCAAATAGATCAGACGGTCACGGACAAGAGCAGGCATGTACTGCAGCCCAGCTGGACACTGGGGTGGAGATGGCTCTGTGCGTAACGTCAGCTCTATGTCCGCGTCCATCGCCCATACTACCGGCGCCACAATGCAGGAGGCCGGGAGTATGGGGGTGTTGTCTATGGACCTCTCCTCTGTGTCGTACAGCCATGACAGTGTGTCTGCCTTCACGTTCTTCGTACCCTGGATGTAAGATAGTGTAAAATCAAACCGGGTGAAGAATAGGGCCCACCTGGCCTGGCGAGGGTTCAGCCTCCTCGCTGCGCAGATGTGAGGTTACTGAAGGCCCTGTCAGCCTCAGCAGACCAGCGGAGCCGGGACGGCCCACCCTTCAACAGAGATGTGATGGGAGCTGAAACCTTGCCAAAGCCCCGGATAAACCTCCGATAGTAGTTGGCAAAGTCAATAAAGCGCTGCACCTCCTTTATCGTGTTGGAGTCGGCCAATTACGCACGGCTGAAATGCGATCTCCCTCCATCTCCACACCTGAGGTGGTAATGCGGTATCCGAGGAAGGAGACGGACTGTTGGAAAAACAGACACTTTTCTGCCTTAAAGGTCATGTTCCAACAGTCGGGCCAGCACTTTGCGAACCAGGGACACATGCTCGGCGCGCGTAGTAGAATACACCAGAACGTCATCGATGTAGACCACTACACCGCGACCAAGCATGTTCCGAAACACCTTGTTCACAAAGGACTGGAAGACGGATGGAGCATTCATCAAACTGTAAGGCATCACCAGGTATTCGTAGTGCCCCGTGGTTGTGCTGAATGCTGTCCTCCACAGAGCTTCACTGCTCTCCACAATAAACAATCACACACAAAGACAAGGGGGCAGAGGGAACACTTATACAGGTACTGATGAGGAGATATGAACCAGGTGTGTGTAATAAACAAGACAAAACAAATGGAATGATGAGATGAGGAGCGGCAGTGGCTAAAAGGCCGGTGACGACGAACGCCAAAGCCTGCCCGAACCAGGAGAAGAGGCAGCTTCGGAGGAAGTCATGACACAGAGTTACCTCTGCTGCAGAGGATAAGTTCATTAGAGTTAACTACCCTCAGATTGCAGCCCAAATAAATGCTTCACAGAGTTCAAGTAACAGACACTTCTCAACATCAACTGTTCAGAGGAGACTGTGTGAATCAGGCCTTCATGGTACAATTGCTGCAAAGAAACCACTACTAAAGGACACCAATAAGAAGAAGAGACTTGCTTGGGCCAAGAAACATGAGCAATGGACATTGGACCAGTGGAAATCTGTCCTTTGGTCTGATGAGTCCTAATTTGAGATGTTTGGTTCCAACCTCCGTGTCTTTGTGAGACGCAGCTGAACGGATGATCTCTGCATGTGTGGTTCCCACCGTGAAGCATGGAGGAGGAGGAGGTGTGATGGTGTGGGGATGCTTTGCTGGTGACACTGTCAGTGATTTATTTAGAATTCAAGGCACACTTAACCAGCATGGCAACCACAGCATTCTGCAGCGATACGCCATCCCATCTGGGACTATCATTTGTTTTTCAACAGGACAATGACCCAACACACCTCCAGGCTGTGTAAGGGCTATTTGACCAATAATGAGAGTGATGGAGTGCTGCATCAGATGACCTGGCCTCCACAATCACCCGACCTCAACCCAATTGAGATGGTATGGGATGAGCCTGACGGCAGAGTGAAGGAAAAGCAGCCAACAAGTGCTCAGCATATGTGGGAACTCCTTCAAAACTGTTGGAAAAGCATTACCTGGTGAAGCTGGTTGAGAGAATGCCAAGAGTGTGCAAAGCTGTCATCAAGGCAACGGGTGGCTATTTGAAGAATCTGATTTGTTTAACACTTTTTTGTTTACTACATTATTCCATTATTTCATAGTTTTGATGTTTTCACTATTATTATACAATGTAGAAAATAGTAAAAATAAAGAAAAACCCTTGAATGAGTAGGTGTGTCCAAACTTTTGACTGGTACTGTATATATATATATATATATATATATATATAAACAAAATCAAAAGTCAAGAACTTTCCATTGTTCACCTCCTCCTCATTTTGTTTCGATGGTTCTTCTCCTTTTTAGTTCCATTCTAATTTGTTCAAAAACTTTTTCACCAGGGGTTGGAACTGGTTCAGGGAACAGAACCGAAAACCGGAAAATAATAAAGATTTTAAAGGAACAGAATCAGAACCGAGAACAAAAGTGATCTATACTGTTCCGGAACAGAACCGTTAATTTAAAAGCATGGGAACCGGTTAATAACATTATTTTACTTTCCGGGCATTTCCCAGTCCCACAAAAAAAAACACAACAAAGCACCAATGCAAAGCCCTCCCTCTGTCAATCAGAAACTTCTGCTAGCTGAAAATCTTTGCCAGTGTGTGTGCGTGTAGGATACCTGCCCCCTCCCCCTCTGAAGCATAGCTGTAGCCTACTGACATTACAAGCGTGATTCAGAAGATTGGGAGAGATTTGTTATTAGAGAAGAATGGATTCACTTTTTCAATGCTAGTTAGGGATACTATAGTGATCACATTTCACATTGGATTATTAACTACAGAAAGGTAAGACGTGTTATTCATTCTGGTGACGCTCCGCACACACAAGCTTGTTAGCTAGCTAGCTTCTCTGGTCCAATGTTAAGCCAACTCTGAAGTTCAAAGACATTCAAAGTTCCTCCATAGAAGCCTAGAAGCCGCTCCTCCGTAGGTATAATTCTGTGGGCCTAATTCTGATACTGCATGTCATCACAAGATTCCCAGCGTTTCAAGCCAAGCCTCCTCCTCCACCCTCTAGTTGCATCTCGTGCCCTACACTTGTCTTTCTATCACGCATGTAAACAACTCACTGAGCTACAGCTTGCCTGCTCCATAGCAAGCTGCTCTTTCCGCACTGCATCATTTGTGAAGTAATTTAATGTTGAGCTAAATGTAAAAAAAACTATGATTTCAGAGGTTTAAAGAGGAACAGAAAGGAACGATATAAACAGATATTTATTTTGGTTTACCTTTACCTTTTGTTTCTGAGCATCGATAAAAAAAACATTACTCAGATATTTTCACAAGAACATTATGAAACCTTAGCACATGTCATATCAACAAAACCTGACTGAGCTATTTTGAAACCAAACCACGCTAGAATTGTATTATCCCTCAACCTTAATGTACTGTACAAGTACAACTACTGCTGGGTAAATAATATTGATGCAGGTAAGTGGATCTACAGTTGGTTCATTCTGACCCCCTAATGGCTCCAGAATGGCTCCAGTTACTCATTATCCTCACTGTATAAATGGAAACCATTATGACAGATGAGCTGCTGCAATAATAGTTCTGACTGAGAGGGTGTCAACCCGACACCCTGGGAAAGCCAGGGGCATTTCTCCCCTCCCGTTGCCCATTGAGGGGGCCTGCTGAGCGGGCAGGCTGGGCCAGGGGAGAGGGGGTCCTCTGGAGCAACAACCTGGGGTTGGGAATTGGGGTGTTGGCAGCCAATCAAAATAGGACATCTTTCGACCGTCAGAGAGAGGTGAGGGATAGGGGCAGGTGAAGGAAAATGGAGAGTGGGAGAGAGGGAGGGAGAGAGAGAGAGAAGAGTTAGTAAAAAAAAGAGAGTGAGAGGGGTTGAGTGAGGGAGAGGGGGGAGGATAGGATGAGACAGTACCATTAGGGTGGCCACATGAGTAAACAGAGACACGTTGCCGGTGCGAGAGTGAGTAATGGGAAAGCTGTAACAAAAAACACAGCCCCCCAAACTGTACTCCCTGACCTCTCACTGGGTAAACATAATCCCCTAAAGCACCACAGAGCCTCACAGCAGTAGGCTATGGACTGACAGCGAAAACACCTCCCTGGTCAGGCAGACAACCACAGTACTGTAGTATCCACAGGTCTTGGCCTGTGAGAGTATGTGAATGATTGGGCTAGAACAACATGCTCTGGATCTGTATCTAAGAACCTTCTGTATCTAAGAACCTGGAAGGTTCAGATATATCTTCTTACAGTATATGTCTATGTTTAAGATTGTTGTAGCGTATGCATTGGCTATGTACACTGTTTACAATAGTCATGTCCTGTACAAAATATAAATAATGTTTTACAAAGGATTGTGTAAGAAAACACAAGTCTACATAGAGATCTATATAGAGATATATATGAATCAAATCAGTGTATATTCATCACATGCTTCCTAAACAACAGGTGTGGACTAACAGGGAAATGCTTGCTTACAGGCCCTTACCAACAATGCAGAGAGAAAGAAAACAGAGGAATGATAGAAAAGTAAAATGCCATTCCATTCGCTCCGTTCCAGCCATTATAATGAGCCTTCCTCCCCTCAGCAGCCTCCACTGCTATATACAAGGGGTACCAGTACAGAGTCGATGTGGAAGGGGTACGAGGTAATTGAGGCAGATATGTACATATAACTAGGAATAAAGTGACAGATAGTAAACAGTAGCAGAAGCATATGTGATGAGTCAAAAAAGTTGGTGCAAAAAGGGTCAATGCAGATAGTCCAGGTAGCTATTTGGTTAAACATTTAACTAACTATTTAGCAGTGTTATGGCTTGGGGTAGAAGCTGTTCAGGGTTCTGTTGTTTCCAGAATTGGTGCATCGGTATTGCTTGCCGTGGTAGCAGAGAGAACAGTCTATGATAAGCACTCACCGGATCGCTCTGATGACAGCCTTCTGTGGAGCTGATATGTCCTCCATGGTGACATCACAGTGGCAGCCCCTGTCGTCGAACGTGTCATCATTCCCCATTCCTGTGTCCACTGAGAGACAGAAAGAGGGGTTGTATCAATTTAACTTGTCTCTCATACTGCCATGGCCCACTAGTCACCTTCCAATTGGCTCTTTAAATCCCTCACCATTGCATCTCTTCCCCAGGTCATAATTACAAAAGAGAATACATTCTCAACCCACTTGGGGTGCTAAATTAAAGGTGTCCAAATACATTATCCTTCCTTAAAGACTTCAGCTCCAAGCTGAAACTCCACAATATAATATTTCAAAATAAGTTGGTAACTTTCAATTTTTTCCTCAAATGAAAATTGGATCTCTAGGAATGGTCAAGAATTGCCAACTCAGCTGTATGCGTGATGGGTGAAGCCAATAATATGAGAGTAGTCAGAGTTTCTCAGGTCGGATTTATTTTTAATAGGATAGGTGTCCTGAAGAGCACAGATAAAGAGCACAAATATACAGGGGAGAGTCCGGGTGACAGAAACAGGGAACTGCTCAGTCAAGCACTTCCCTCCTCTATTAGAAGGTTACATACAGCTTGAATTCTCTGTTACAGTAGAGGTTTATACACTGAGTATACAAAACATTAAGAACACATGCTCTTCCCATGACATAGACTGACCAAGTGAATCCAGGTGAAAGCTATGATCCCTTTTTTAAAATATATTTAAAAAAACTTTTACCCCTTTTTCTCCACAATTTCGTGATATCTAATTGGTAGTTACAGTCTTGTCCCATTGCTGCAACTCCCCTACGAACTCGGGAGAGGCCAAGGTCGAGAGCCACTCGGGAGGCCCGCTATGATCCCTTTTTGATGTCACTTGTTAAATCCACTTAAATGGTCGGGGGGCTGGAACATAAAAGATATGTTTGACTAAAACGTAATCATTTCAAACCTTGCTTACATTTGTATACAATTATGTGTTTATTATGCGTGGGAATACTTGGGAACAGATTTCTTCAATTAAAATCACTTGGAGCTGATTTCCTGGTGTTTTACAGTCTTTTATGTCCAACAATGAAAAAAGTTATATTATTATTTTTTGCTCAGAAAACTTGGGGGGGGGGCAAATAGGTACTGGCAACATCGGTGAGGTAGAGACGCCAAGCAGCCTGGGGTACGAGGTGACACGCGCAGACAGACACACATAGACGGGAGCAATGGCAACATGGTGAGGAGATAGGGTAAACGTAATCATACACACATAGATAGAGGTGCACAACACATACACAGACAGACATACACTGAGTGTACAAAACATTAAGAACACCCGCTCTTTTCATGACAGACTGACCAGGTGAATCCAGGTGAAAGCTATGATCCCTTATTGAAGTCACTTGTTAAATCTAACTTCAATCAGTGTAGATGAACGGGAGGAGACAGATTAAAGAAGGATTTTTAAGCCTTGAGACAATTGAAACATGGATTGTGTATATGTGCCATTCAGAAGGTGAATGGGTAAGACAAAATATTTAAGTGCCTTTGAACGGGGTATGGTAGTAGGTGCCAGGCACACCGGTTTGTGTCAAGAATTGCAACGCTGCTAGGTTTTTCACGCTCAACAGTTTCCTGTGTGTATCAAGAATGGTCCACCATCCAAAGGACAACCAGCCAACATGACACAACTGTGGGAAGCATTGGAGTCAACATGAGCCAGCACACTTTCGACACAACTGTGGGAAGCATTGGAGTCAACATTGGCCAGCACACTTTCGGCACCTTGTAGAGTTCATGCCCTGACGAATAGAGGCTGTTCTGAGAGCAAAAGTGGGGGGTGCAACTCAATATTAGGAGGGTGTTCCTAATGTTTGGTGTACTCAGTGTATATAGGCAGTGGACTGGACTTCCATATGTCATGTTGGAGGATATTGCAACTTCTGTGGAATGTAAGTCTTGACTCATTAATCTACCCTTGTGGACTTCTTAAAAAGCACATACCGTATATATACGCACACACACACACACATACACACACATTGACATAAACCCCCCCACACGCACACACACAAAGGCACACATCCTCTCCACTCACCCTCGGAGGGCGCGGTGCGTGATTGGCTTTTGAGGCGTAGGGAGGGTCTAAAGCGGGTGCGGTCGTTGAAGCTCCAGCTCTTCTGTACCTTGGCAGGGCTGCTGCGCTTCTCAGCAGCTGCTGCCACATCGTTGCCCGGGGAACAGCGCCGGTCGTTGTTGATGGACGTCTGGCGGCTCTTCATGCTCTGGCCGCGAGGGCTTGCCATCCGTACCCGCTCCTTAAAACTCAACTTAGTACTAAAGAGAGAGACAGAAAGACAGAGAGGAAGAGGGAGAGAGCGAGAGAGAGAGAGAGAGCAAAAGCCTCTTATTATGCATTCCCCCTGAGAGAGACAAATGTGTGCAGACAGAGTGTAGTCATAGTGCAGTGTACTGTCCTTTCCTCAAACCCAAACATTACAAACATGCGTACCTCATCCACAACACACTCAGAGTACCCCATCTACTCTCTAAGACAGTGGTCCCTAAGCGTGGTCCTGAGGAGCTATAGGGTGTGCAGGCTTTTGCTCCAGCCTAGCCGACTAAACTCCACGATTTACGAACAATATTGTGTAATTGCGGACTACTCTTTGGGTGTTGAAATCAGCTGTTTTTTTATTTAAAAATGTATGACGTAGGAGCCAACACTAGTCGCCGCTCAACTCCATCGTAAATCGTGGAGTTGAGTTTAATCGGCTAGCTCCAGCCCAGCACTAAAGGAGCTGAATCAGCTGGGCAGAAACAAAAGCCTACACTCTTTCAAGAGAAGTTGCTCCCTAGAACCATACAGGGTTCTGCTCTACCTGGAACCAAAAAGGAGTCTCCTATGGGGACAAACAAATAAAAAAATGGTTCTAAGAGGGTAAACACCTTGTAGCTCTCCAGGACCTCTAGCTCTTGGGAACTACTGTTCTAGAGATCAAAGGCAGTAGTATGACACTGACCACTGTTCCAAGACAAAGACAATAACCAGGGAAGACCTACAATTCATACTGATGCATATAAGCACTCTTCCTACTTATGCTGTAGGCTAGGATCTCAGTATCTCTAGGACACTTAGACCTGTATTGTGCCAGTGGGCCTGTGCTTAGACATACTGTAGCTTTATAGATGGGTGGGTGATGCAGACAGCCTCTACCTGAGACACACCCTAACCCCTGCCATGGCAACCGGAGAAGCATGCAATGCTGTGGACCAACCATTAGGATGTTTTTAACGATAACAGGGACCTTGCCAAAGCCTAGGTAAATGAAGATGCATCAATGCAGTGTGGGATGAGTGGGGTCAAAGGTCAGTCAGGGTGATGGTGACCATTTCTGATGAGCACATGCAGTGGTACCATGCAGCCAAGCCAAAGGACCTCAGCAGACCAATGTAGATCGAGATGGACGGTAGATTTTATGGCGATGAAAGACTGTTAAGAGTTCTGATTTCTACACACAGAACTACTTCCGCTACACAGGGGGACCGGGATACAGTTAGTTAGGGGTTGTGTCTGATAAGGGGGTCCAAAGGAGGTGGGGGTCAAAACCAACAGGCAACAGGTAACAGGCAGCAGTCCCATTAGACAAGCAAAGGGCAAATACAATTATTTCATGGGGAGGGGGTAGGTGGCAGTTTGGGGGTTCTTTCATCATCCTCCATGCACCTGGCAGTTAGTCAGCATTCCCAGAGATCATGTGACCAAGGAGGAGAGGATGCTGGGTAGTGGTTACTTCCTAAATTCTGTGCGTAATACCTTCTGAAGCGCCTCCTATTACTATGACCCTTACTAGGGAGGTAGGGAGGAAGACAGATAGAGGAGGAAGGGGTTAACACACCAAGGAGTGGGGAAGGGAGGGATGAGAGGCATCTGTACGGTCAAGCTTTGGATAAAAGCGTCTGCTAAATGGCATATTATTATTATTATTATAATACTGTCAGAAGTATAAACTGGCGATTATACTGTATTCTGTGGTCTGATTATATACAGTAGGTCACACACCTTTAGCTGTAGGAGTTGCAATACAAACCATGAGAGTGATTTATGGTGGTTGTGTCCTTACATTCTAGATAGTCAGAAGTTGTGAAAGGAGCAGAATAAGCAGACACACCCCCAGCCTCATACTCTCACACACACACACCCTCCCACTCAACAACCCACACACACAAACACCTTCTCACCCACCCACTCAACAACCCACACACATTACACAAACACCCTCCCACCCACCCACTCAACAACCCCCACACACAAACACCTTCTCACCCACCCACTCAACAACCCACACATACACACACCCTCCCTCCCACCCACCAACCCACCCACACACACACCCTCCCACACATCCACCCACCCACCCACCCACCCACACACACACACACACACACACACACACATCCACCCACCCACCCAACAACCCACACACACAAACACCTTCTCACCCACCCACTCAACAACCCACACATACACACACACCCTCCCTCCCACCCACCTACCCACCCACCCCCACACACACACACACACACCCTCCCACCCATCCATCCACATCACCCACCCACCCACCCACCCACTCAACAGCCCACACACACACAAACACCCTCCTACCCACCCATCCACTCAACAACCCACACACACACAGTCTGTTTTACCAGAGTCATTTGCTACTGTAGAGCAATTATAACATTACCTAAGTTCTTAACTGTTGATGTGAGCAACGCTTAGGAAAAATCCTATTATACAGCTAATTGTATAGTATACATTTGAACGTATGAAAACCTGGGCTATAATTATGATTTCAAAAGCTCTCGCCTAATTGACTAAACCACAACACAAGTTATTTGAGAAGCCAACGAAAGCATACAAAACCACATGACTTCCAATGGCTTGGAGGATTAACAGGGAATGACAGTTTGGTTGTGTGTGTGTGTGTGTGTGTGTGTGTGTGTGTGTGTGTGTGTGTGTGTGTGTGTGTGTGTGTGTGTCTGTGTGTGTGTGTGTGTGTGTGTGTGTGTGTGTGTGTGCCTGCGCATGTGCTGTGCATATGTCTCTCAACATAAAGTCCAAATTTAGCTGCACTGGCATGACATGAGGAATCCACCGTTTCCAAAGGAGCACTGTACTGTAAAAACAATAACCTAAAATCATACTTAAAGTCACAAATCTCTCTGTCTCTCCCTCCTCCTCTCCTTGTCTCTCGGCCTGCCGACCGAGACTGGTGTTTGACAAGTTAAATAAATACCCTTGGAATGGAAAACGCGCGTCATGGTGCAGACATGGTACAGACGCTGGTTTGCACATAACACACACATATCGCAGAAACACACACACACACACTCAAACCCATACACAGTGTAGAAATACACACACAAACCTCTCTCTCTCACACACAGACACACACACAGTAAGCATAGAAACACACTCAGATACTCTCTCAAACACGGCAGAGACAGAAAAGCGGTACAACGCTCATGGTGGCTTGGAGAGCCAGGAGCCAAGAGAGACCATGGTGCTCTGAGAGACAGAGACTGATACACCAGAGAGCCCTTTCTCAAACCAGGACAGAGACTTCCATAGCACTGCTGATTTTCATTCTTCCCCTCTAACCAGGGACTGATTCTGACCTGGGACACCAGGTGTGTGCAAGCTCTGGCCAAACAGTGACTTTCAAAACAATTTGAAAACGAGGGTTCAGTATCAACACATTTATCAACCAGCATAGGTCTTCTTTTTAGAGTGAATGTCTTTGAATGAACCATTGCGTGATGTGTGTAGAGGCGAGAGCTACAAACCTGCTAATCGTCTCACCCTGTTCTTTCCTTTAGGTGTTAGTGAGAAGAGAGGAGAGAGACAAGGGAAGAGATACCAGTCGTTAATGACAGAGTCTACAGGGTCTCCCTACACCACACACAGGGGCAGAGAGATGAAGAGGTCAGCCAGCTTCATACTGTAACATCCTCCCTGTGTGTATTGCATGCGAGACATGATGTCAGAAGACAAACCGTCAGGCATGAAGAACACAAACCACTACAGTCAAAGCCTTGTGCAAGACTAATTTTGTGAGCTAGTTTACAGGACATTGCAGCAGGCACACATGCAAACAATGGCTGTGCGACACAACTGGGCTAGGAAAGCACTGGCAGATAGAGATAGAAGATAGAAAGGTGTGTGTCCCTGGGCAAAAGACTGGTTGAATCAATGTTGTTTCCACATCATTTCAACCAAAAAATTACATGTGATGACATTGAATTAATGTGGAAAACTGATTGGATTTAGAAAAAGTAATCAATGGAATTTCTTCTTTTTTTCATCCAACTTTTAACCCAAATCCAATGACATGGGGATATTTTCTGTTTATTTCACGTTGTAATGTAATTCAAAACTAGACATGGAACTATTTTCTGTGCCCAGTCGGGTGTGTGTGTGTGTGTGTGTATTTGTGATTGAAAAAGCAGATGTCTGTGTTTGTGCCCACACTGTGTAGACCTATAGAATATGTGTGTGTATGTTTGCGTGAGAGGGAGAGAGTGAGCGAGCGATAAAGCAGGTCGTCCAGCGAATATTTCCAGGATCCTCTCATGTGCCCTTAAACACACCCTAAAGTCTTCAGAGAAAACATGGTGTCATTTCTGGACAACATAAGTTGGAAAATGTTAATGTTTGTACACTCTGTTTTACTTTCCATGTTTAAATGAATTAGTGAAAGAAAAGTATTTGTAAGTTGGTTCTTTGTGTGTGGGCGCCTGGAAATATTGGAATATTTGATGACTGTGAGCCTTAAAGTCCATATGAAATTACTGTAACCATACAAGTATTCAATTATAATAACAGCAAAATAAGTATAGAAAGTAATGTCAAAAGGAGTTGACGAGCTGATTAAACTCAAGTAGGGAGCAAGATCCACAAGAGACCAACCACTAAAAAAAGCAGAGCAGGAAATTGTGAAAGAAGCTAGAGGAAAACAGAGACCAAATAGGAAGAGAGCAGAGCAGAGCAGCAGCCATACTTGAGTTGTTACCTACTTTGCAGGACTGCAGGTATGCAGCGCCTTCAAATGAGGCTTCCAGGTAGCTATGGAAACCGAGTTCTCATCTGCAGCATAACTACGCCAGACACACTACATGCAGAGTCAACAAAAAACAAAAGAAAAACAAAGAGAGAGACAGAGAGAGGGGGGTGGGAGAACGGGGGGATAATACAAAATAAAATATAAAACAAGGCCAGAGGGAACGGAGGAGGGAGGAAGGGGGATGGGGGTTAAGAAATAAAGAAAAAAGAAAGAGAAATAAAACAAAAAGAGAGTGATTAGTAAAACCGGTGGTGTCAAGGCATCATGGGGCAGGGGGAGGGGGGATACATGCCTGAAGGGAGAGTGGGCGCCCTGGTAGTGCTGCCACGTGGCACTGAGGTAGGTACGGGCACCGTCGGTGGAGTAGAGACGCCAAGCAGCCTTGGGTACGAGGTGACACGCACAGAGAGACACACATAGACGGGAGCAATGGCAACATGGTGAGGAGATAGGGTACACGTAATCATACACACATAGATAGAGGTGCACAACACATACACAGACAGACATACACTGAGTGTACAAAACATTAAGAACACCCGCTCTTTTCATGACAGACTGACCAGGTGAATCCAGGTGAAAGCTATGATCCCTTATTGATGTCACTTGTTAAATCTAACTTCAATCAGTGTAGATGAACGGGAGGAGACAGGTTAAATAAGGATTTTTAAGCCTTGAGACAATTGAGACGTGGAATGTGTATGTGTGCCATTCAGAGGGGGAATGGGCAATACAAAATATTTAAGTGCCATTGAACGCACCAGTCTGCAACGCTGCTGGGTTTTTCACGCTCAACTGTTTCCTGTGTGTATCGAGAATGGTCCACCATCCAAAGGACATCCAGCAAACTTGACAACTGTGGGAAGCATTGGAGTTAACATGGGCCAGCATCTCCGTGGAACGCTTTCAACACTTTGGTCCATGCTCTGACGAATTGAGGCTGTTTTGAGGGCAAAAGGGGGAAAGGTGTTCCTAATGTTTTGTAGACCCAGCGGTAACAAACAACAGAGATAAAACATTCCTGCCGACTGCAGATGTAAGTCCATCTGTCGAGAGAAAATATCTAGTCAGACGAAGAAGTGTTGAGTTCCTTATCAACTCAGCCATACTATACAGACAGGATGAATAGAGCAAATGGAGTTGCCTGTTTGCAGGCCTGTAAGCGGTGGAAAAAGGGAGCTAAATTGAATGCATGAATCAAACAAGTAGCCAAATCGTTTTTTTCTGCTTGATGTTAGAATCTCTAGAAAAACAAGATCTGTGTGTGTTTTGTGTTGGTTTTTGAGTTCATTGTGTATGTTGAGTTGATGGTGTATTGTAATAGTCCAGGTCTTGTCTGATAGGATGAGCTATGGCGTAGATGTAAATCCACACTGGACTCTAGTGGAAACAGCTCATAAATATCACCTCTGTATTTCCTTTGGACCTGAGAGAGGACAAAGAGTTAGGTATCGACTACACACACACACTTGCGTGCGCACACAAACACACGCACGAACACACAAACATACTGTACACACACGTGCATGTTTCCACACAAACACACATACACATACAGTTGAAGTCTGTAGTTTACATACACTTAGGTTGGAGTCATTAAAACTTGTTTTACAACCACTCCACACATTTCTTGTTAACAAACTATAGTTTGGCAAGTCGGTTAGGACATCTACTTTGTGCATGACACAAGTAATTTTTCCAACAATTGTTTACAGACAGATTATTTCACTTATAATTCACTGTATCACAATTCCAGTGGGTCAGAAGTTTACATACGTTCATCTGTACAAACAATAGTACGCAAGTATAAACACTGTGGGACCACGCAGCCGTCATACCGCTCAGGAAGGAGACGCGTTCTGTCTGCTAGAGATGAATGTACTTTGGTGCGAAAAGTGCAAATCAATCCCAGAACAACAGCAAAGGACCTTGTGAAGATGCTGAAGAAAACAGGTACAAAGTATCTATATCCACAGTAAAACGAGTCCGATATCAACATAACCTGAAAGGCAGCTCAGCAAGGAAGAAGCCACTGCTCCAAAACCGCCATAAAAAAGCCAGACTACGGTTTGCAACTGCACATGGGGACAAAGATCGTACTTTTTGGAGAAATGTCCTCTGGTCTGATTAAACAAAAATAGAACTGTTTGGCCATAATGACCATCGTTATGTTTGGAGGAAAAAGGGGGTACTTGCAAGCCGAAGAACACCATCCCAACCGTGAAGCATGGGGGTGGCAGCATCATGCTGTGGGGGTGCTTTGCTGCAGGAGGGACTGGTGCATTTCACAAAATTGATAGCATCATGAGGAAGGAAAATTATGTGGATATATTGAAGCAACATCTCAAGACATCAGTCAGAAAGTTAAAGCTTGGTCGCAAATGGGTCTTCCAAATGAACAATGACTACAAGCATACTTGCAAAGTTGTGGCAAAATGACTTAAGGACAACAAAGTCAAGGTATTGGAGTGGCCATCACAAAGCCCTGACCTCAATCCTATAGAACATTTGTGGGCAGAACTGAAAAAGCGTGTGCGAGGAAGGAGGCCTACAAACCTGACTCAGTTACGCCAGTTCTGTCAGGAGGAATGGGCCAGAATTCACCCAACTTATTGTGGGAAGCTTGTGGATGGCTACCTGAAACGTTTGACCCAAGTTAAACAATTTAAAGGTAATGATTCCAAATACTAATTGAGTGTATGTAAACTTCTGACCCACTAGGAATGTGATGAAGTAAATAAAAGCTGAAATAAATCATTCTCTCTACTATTATTCTGACATTTCACATTCGTAAAATAAAGTGGTGATCCTAACTGACCTAAGACAGGGAATTTTTACTAGGATTAAATGTCAGGAATTGTGAAAAACTGAGTTTAAATTTATTTGGTTAAGGTGTATGTAAACTTCCGACTTCAACTGTATATAAACACACACACACTCTGATACAAACACACGCGGGCATGTTCACTTTCACACACACACACACACACACACACACACACACACACACACACACACACACACACAGAACAGTTCAGTGGTGGCAGGTTGTCACGGAATCTGCCGAGGCTGCTCCTCCTCCTTGTTCGGGCAGGCTTCGGCGGTCGCCGTCCCCGGAGTACTAGCTGCCACCGTTAGATGTTTCCTGGTTTGATTGCTTTTGTCTGTATGTTACACCTGTGTCCGTTTGTGTCTGATTATGTGTCCTATAAGTTGCCTGTTTTTAGTTGGTTAGGTTGTGTGTTGTTATTTCGCCTGTCCGTTAGTGCTGCTTGTTTATCTATGTTTATTATTTACTATTTTACGCACAGTCTGCGTAATCGCTCGCCTCTGTTTATTGTTGAGGCCGTTCTTTGTATTGTGCTTTGGTTTGCACTAGTAAACTTTGTTGGACTAAGCTTCGGTGTCCTGCGCCTGACTCCCGCACCACATTAACCTCAGCTACTGTCACAGGTGGCACTTTAAATGGGGAGGACGGGATCATAGTAATGGCTGGAACGGAATTAATGGAATGGTATCAAACACATCAAACACCTGTTTTTTCATGTGTTTGATACCATTCCATTCACTCCATTCCATCCATCATTATCAGTCGTCCTCCCCTCACCAGCCTCCACTGGAACAGTTATAGCATGTCTGGTGATAGACTTGTGAGTGTGTGTTGTGTACCTGGATGAGGCTGGCTGCTGGGTTCCTCCTCTTCTCAAAGTGTTTTTGTCTGTGCTGCTCCTGTACCTTCAGGGCAAAGCCTGAGCCCAGGATACCCTGTACACACACACACACACACACACACACACACACACACACACACACACACACACACACACACACACACACACACACACACGATGGACTGAATCTGTGGGTCTTGACACTTCAAACTGTGTGTGTGTGTGTGTTTGTGTGTGTGTGTGTTCCTGTGTGTGTCTGTGTGTGTCTGTGTGTGTCTGTGTCTGTGTCTGTGTGGTTGTCTGTGTCTCACGGCAGGCAGGGCAAAGAAGGAGATCCCCATCAGAGCAAAGCCAGCTGAGATCAGACGACCCGTCCACGTCTGAGGAGTCTTGTCTCCGTAGCCGATGGTCGTCAGAGTAATCTGGACACACACATCATCATCACAGAGTTCAGAGGTCACAATACAATTGTTACACTGTAACCCCCACAGCCCCACAGACCACAATGACAGATGCACAGAAAAACTAAATTATCCACCATTACCCTAGGCCAGTGTTTCCCAAATGCCGTTTTGTAGTATTTGGGTAAATTCCATTTTCAATTCAGTCAATTCACTTCCTGAATAGAAAGATCCACCTTATAGAGCCCTCCAGGACCAAGATTGAATAACACTGCACTTTTGTGTGTTGTGTATTTCAGTGACCCCTTTCCCTCCCTGTCCCTGTCTCCCCTTGCACATCTAATAGCCCAGTCTGTAGCTTGTTTTTGGTCACAGCTCCAGGAATGGCTGAAGGATTGCAATATTTACCTGGAGCTAACCCTGCAGATAGCACTACTGGGTGATATGAAAAGTCATAGTCAATCGATCAATAATATAATAATAATTTTAGCAAAAATGTTTATTTTCAATTTACAGTCTGTAGAAACAATGAGAATAGTAGGGTTCAGAACTTTTGTGAAACATCACAGTTGAAAAATATATCCAATATGGATTGTGTTAAGAGATGGATGGGAGGTGTTGAATGGAGCTGAAGGATGGGACTAATAACAACTAACAATAACTAATAACAAAAAGATAACTAATGTAAAGCATACTGTGTCCATAATAAGTACATAGGTTATAGGTTGAGAGCTTTTGTGAAAGAGCACAGTTAGAAAGATATGACAAGCAAACCGGATGGACATCATGAAAATGATCGTAGAGGTTGAGGGTAGAGGAGTTTACTCCAATTAGGGAAGGGGTGGTGGGGTTGGAAAGTAATAAAGGGATAAAAAAAGGATATGTATATATATGTATGTATGTATATGTATATACATATATATATATATATATATATATATATATATATATATATTTGCGAGACAAAAAAACATATGGGGGATTAGAAGTGATGCAGACAATTACATTGATGGAAGTTAAAATCTATCTGCAATATTAGAGCTGATCTACTACACCCCCACCAACAATGTAATTTCCAGACACTGGAAATTACATTCATCGATTGGGTAATTTTAGCCGGTCTGAAGCAGTGGGCATTCATTGTTTGTGTCGACATTGTATAAGGTCTGGTAAGTAATGCCTGGGAAAGGGAAAGGGAGGTGTTTGAAGACCAGCCAAGCATGCCCTTGTAGCTCTGTTATGCCACAATGTCATTAAAGGAGAAGTTAGCTTTTTTACAACCAAATTAGCATTTTTTATGTAAATGTTATGTTAAGAGTCCAGATTTTTTTGGGATACTTACCCCAACCAGCAATTAATTTCCTCATCCTCGTTGTGCAGTACGGGGGCTCTGAGAAAACATGAACGAATGCTTGAAAAACAACCAAATACGTCCTTTTAGAAACGGAAACGCTCTCAGTATAGTGATGCAGGTCTGTTGTTCACATGAAATTATGTCACTCCGAACTTTATCCGCAACGTTATTCCATTTCGTGAGACTCGAGCCGTTTCCCATATCCAGCTGTTCCATTCACTGTGTAGCCTGCTACTACAGGTAACTGCCAAAATAAAGGAAACACCAACATAAAGTATCTTAATAAGGCATTGAGCCACCAGAACAGCTTCAATGCTCCTTGGCATATATTCTACAAGTGTCTGAAACTTCCTGTGTGGAAGCACCTGCTTTCAATATACTTTGTATCCCTCACTTACTCAAGTGTTTCATTTATTTTGGCAACCTGTAGAACGGACAGACAGGTATCTCTCAAGTCACAACAAAATGGAATACAATGTTAAGGATAAAGTTCAGAATTACACAATTTCATGTGTACAACCTCTAAAGACCTGCATCACTATACTGAGAGCTTTTCCATTTCAAAAGGGACGTATTTGGGTGTTTTTGGAGCCTTTGTTCAGGTTTTTCAGAGACCCCATACTGCACAACGAGGATGGTGAAAGGAATCACTGGTTGGGGGTACGTTTCTCAAAAACAAGTGAAATCGCAAAAAGAAGTGTCTGGACCCTTCTATAATGTGCTATTTAAATGTTTTGTCTTAAGGTCATATTATAGACTGGTCAGCAAGTCCAGTAATGATAATAAAGCTACTCTTTCTCTTTCAGAGATGTGCTGGTTAGGTTGTTTTCTTGTATCTGCTGATTAAACTTCAATCCTGTGAATATCAGTATGGGCTATGTAGAAACATCTTGATCAAACTACAAATTTGTGTGTGTATGTGAGGAGTGTGCATGTGTGTTTGTGTGGTGTATGCATGGGCCAGTGTGTGTGCATGTGTGTGCGTGTATGTGTGTGTGTGTGTGCGTGTGCGTGTGTGTGTATGTGTGTGTGTGTGTGTGTGTGTGTAGACTCACTGTGCCCCACCACAGAGCATCGGCATAGGTGGCAAAGTCTTTGTTGAACTCCTTCTCCACGAGGTAGACCAGGAATGAAGAGAAGATGAGCACCAGGAACCCAATGTACCAAGCTGTCACCAACTCCTATAGGAAATCAATGTATTACATGTGTAAACAAATACATCCAACCTCACTGTATTTGTTGTGTCAACCAGGTCCTAAACCCCTAAAGATCAAGTTGAGGTGACAGTGAAGAATCACTATTAAGAAACCTTGAGAGGAACCAGACACTAGAGGGGGAGCACATCCTGCTATTTTTTATAGAAGGACAGAGTACATAGGACTATCTAGGCCAGACTGTTGTCCACACTGAATTGGACTACAAACATGGTCGTACCTTACTGTGCGCGTAGACTACAGATCCCAGTAGTTTCCAGGTGCCCCCTCTGCGGTCCATGCGCACCATTCGCAGGATCTGCAGGAAGCGAAGGCTCCTCAATGCTGAGGTGGCAAAGATGTTACCTTGGCTACCCGCTGACACCACAGCAATGGAAGCTATGAGTACAATGATGTCTGGAAAGAGACAATGACAGATGAAGGGGAATGGGGAAAAGTAAACAAAATCAACTTCAGTATTTACGATCTTGTAAACTTCCATGAGAGGCTACTGATAATGTATTGCAGTGTGTATGAATGACACACGTGATACTATCACACAAGGGTGTAACTTTGTGTTGCAAATTGGGGGGGTCAGGGTCAATGGGTTCCGGGGTCAACACCCTTCTATGATAAAAAAAAAAAAGAAATAGCTGTGAATTCAATATATCCCAACCACAACTGAAATAGCCTACCAATAATTTATGTATTACTTTAAACTGTTAGTCTAACTCTAACAGTTCAGAAAGTAACCACGTTTGGCAATTTGTTTGTAGAATGACTGTGAGAAAGTATGTTCTTGGGTTTGATTGAACGTTTGCTACGTTGCGTAACAGCTTGTACCGAACAACACATTTCCCCAAAACGTTCTTCATCGTTCTTGAACAGACTTTGAGATAGCCTACGTTTGCTCACTTTGGTGGGTGTGGCAGGATCTGGCTTGAAGTAGATGTCTTCACGGGTCCAACAGACAGGAAATTCCGAGATCCGACTCGGGACCCGAGCGGGTCCTACATTTTTAGTTTTGTCTCCGAGCTGGGTCGGGTCTGATATAATTGCCACGTGTCTCGGGTCTGATATAATTGGCACGGGTCTCGAGTATGTGCAATTGAAAATGTATTTACCGGCTGGACCCGATTGGACCCGTCCTCTGTTAATTTAATGAGTGAGGTGATGAGAACTGCTCGAGCTTGTTATCTGTGTCAGCTAATTGCAACTCAATAAAACGCATCGCTTATGTCCAGCTAAAACTGGTTCCGGCTGCTCACCTCACATGCGCTTGCTTCTGAGGAGAGAGAGAGAGAGAAAGAGAGAGAGAGAGAGAGAGAGTGAGAGGAGCCTTGGTCTAGGCTACTATTGATTGTGAAGGAGGCCTTTTCATTGAAGTAAAACAAAAGTTAGACGAGAAAGAGTATAGTGCAAAGATGCCGACAATGGGACAATACTGCAGTGGACAAAGATGAGAAGAACGTTGGCACGGCTAAATGGACTGTGTGATGCAACTCGCTATCCGAGTTTGATGCAATTTTTGAATTTATCAGATTTATTATCATTTGTTTTATCATTATTATTATTGTATATCATTATTATTATTGTAGGCCTATTTAAGAATCTAAACCAGTGCAAAAAGTGTTTTGTTTAATTTTGTTGAGACATTTACGTTGGCAAAAATAAGTTTGAAATGTCTTTTTAATATTGTGCACCTTAAATGGGGCCTGTTATAAAATAAATATAATTAGCATATTGCTGCCATTTGTTGGGTAGGCACCTGCTTTTCTTGGTAATTGCTGCAATATAGGCCAAGTGTCACGCCCTGCTCTGGGGACTCTTAAATGTTGAGCCAGGGTGTGTAGTTTCTGTGTTGTGTTTATTTCTATGGTGAATCTCAATTATGTGTAGATCTATGTTGGCCGGTTTGGTTCCCAATCAGATGCAGCTGTAGCTCGTTGTCTCTGATTGGGGACCATACTTAGGCAGCCTTTTGGCACCAGTCAGTTGTGGGATCTTGTTCCGTAAAGGTATGTTGTGTGTATGCTACCTTGGACTTCACGTTTCGTTTGTTGTTTTGTCGTGTGTTCAGTACGTAAATAAATATGAATGCATATCACGCTGCGCCTTGGTCCTTCTCGTCCGTAAACGATCGTGACACCAAGCCTATTCAAAACACTTGTGAAGGTTTAAACCAGTTCTTTAAATATGTAACAAGTGTTTTGTTTCACTATGCCATATTCTTTGGCCAAATTAAGTTCAAATTGTAATGTTGTGTTTGCCGCAATATAATAGAATTACCGGTAGGCCTATACCTACTCGCTCTCAAACCGTGAAAAGGAAAAAACTAAGAGGACGAGATGCAAAACTTAATTTAATGCAGCAATATGATAACCTGTTCGTATTTTCCATAAAACAGTGACTTGACTTTTGTGAATGTTTGGTGTGCTATGGTTATTATTAGGCTTGGCTACTGCAGGCCTATGAAGGCAGTACGCACTGGCTCTGACAATTGAGGAAGAATGTTTTAGTTCTACCAAAGTTACTCCTTTAACCTATCAATAATTTACGAATTAGCCTCCTTCTGCACGATTATACAGTGCATTCGGAAAGTATTCAGACTCCTTCCCTTTTTCCACAATTTGTTACGTTACAGCCTTATTCTAAAATTGATTAAATTGTTTTTTCCCCTCATCAATCTACACACAATACCCCACAATGACAAAGCAAAAACAGGCTTTTAGAAATGTTTGCAAAAACAGAAATACCTTATTTACATAACTAATCAGACCCTTTGCTATGAGACTCGAAATTGAGCACAGGTGCATCCTGTTTCCATTGATCATCCTTGAGATGTTTCTACAACTTGATTGGAGTCCACCTGTGGTAAATTCAATTGATTGGACATGATTTGGAAAGGCACACACCTGTCTATATAAGGTCCCACAGTTGACAGTGCATGTCAGAGCAAAAACCAAGTCATGAGGTCAAAGGAATTGTCCGTAGAGCTCAGAGACAGGATTGTGTCGAGGCACAGATCTGGGAAGAGTACCAAAACATTTCTGCAGCATTGAAGGTCCCCAAGAACACAGTCGCCTCCATCATTCTTAAATGGAAGAAAATTGGAGCCACCAAGACTCTTCCTAGAGCTGGCTGCCCGGCCAAACTGAGCAATCACGGAAGAAGGGCTTTGGTCAGGGAGGTGACCAAGAACCCGATTGTCACTCTGACAGAGCTCCAGATTTCCTCTGTGGAGATGGGAGAACCTTCCAGAAGGACTACCATCTCTCCAGCACTCCACCAATCAGGCCTTTACGGTAGAGTGGCCAGACGGAAGCTACTCCTCAAAAAAAGGAACATGACAGCCCGCTTGGAATTTGGCAAAAGGCACCTGAAGGACTCAGACCATGAGAAACAAGATTCTCTGGTCTGATGAAACTAAGATTGATCTCTTTGGCCTGAATGCCAAGCGTCACGTCTGGAGGAAACCTGGCACCATCCCTACGGTGAAGCATGGTGGTAGCAGCATCATGCTGTGGGGATGTTTTTCAGCGGCAGGGACTGGGAGACTAGTCAGGATCGAGGCAAAGATGAACGGAGCAAGGTACAGAGAGATCCTTGATGAAAACCTGCTCCAGAGCGCTCAGGACCTCAGACTGGGGCGAAGGTTCACTTTCCAACAGGACAACGACCCTAAGCACACAGCCAAGACAACGCAGGAGTGGCTTCGGGACAAGTCTCTGAATGTCCTTGAGTGGCCTAGCCAGAGCCCGGACTTTAACTCGATCGAACATCTCTGGAGAGACCTGAAAATAGCTGTGCAGCGAAGCTCCCCATCCAGCCTGACAGAGCTTGAGAGGAATGGGAGAAACTCCCCAAATACAGGTGTGCCAAGCTTGTAGCGTCATACCCAAGAAGAATCGAGGCTGTAATCGCTGCCAAAGGTGCTTCAACAAAGTACTGAGTAAAGGGTCTGAATACTTATGTTAATGTGATATTTAAGTTTGTTAGAATTGCTTTGTCATTAGGGGATATTGTGTGTAGATTGATGAGGAACAAAATGAATTTAATCTATTTTAGAATAAGGCTGTAATGTAACAAAATGTTGAAAAGTCAAGGTGTCTGAATGCTTTCCGAATGCACTGTATCTGTATAGCAGTTGAAGCCTACTGACAAGGATAAAGAAATGAATGTCGTGTCGGGAACATGGTTCTGAATATGCTACACATCGAAACAAAACAAGTCGTTTTTTGTAATTTGTTAAAGCCAGTTTTTAAGGACACGTAACTTTGGAACATTTGGTCAATTTCGCTAATTTGTTGATGGTGCTGGAAGTGTCCAGTCAGATGTTTCCTTCTCTCTCTCTTTCTACTCTCAAATCTGAAAGGGTCTCTCGGATCCGAACTGGCACGGGTCTGTTTGGGTCTATTTTTCCACCGGCCTTTTCGGAACGGGTCTGACTGTCCTCGGGTCCATTTGGAACAGCTCTGTTTTTTGCAGTGGTGGAAAAAGTACTCAATTGTCATACTTGAGTAAAAGTAAAGATACCTTAATAGAAAATTACTCAAGTAAAAGTGAAAGTCACCTAGTAAAATACTACTTGAGTAAAAGTCTAAAAGTATTTGGTTTTAAACATACTTAAGTATCAAAAGTAAATGTAATTGCTAAAATAAACTTAAGTATCAAAAGTAAAAGTATTAAGTATAAATCATTTCACGTTCCTTATATTAAGCAAACCAGATGGCACGATTTCCATAATTTTATTTTTTACGGATAGCCAGGGCATACTCCAACACTCAGGCATAATTTACAAATTAATAATTAGTGTTTAGTGAGTCCGCCAGATAAGAAGCAGTAGGGATGACCAGGGATGTTCTCTTGATGTGTATGAATTGGACCATATTCCTGTCCTTCTAAGCATTGGAAATGTAACCAGTACTTTTGGGTGTCAGGGAAAATGTATGGAGTAAAAAGTACATTATTTTCTTTAGGAATGTAGTGGAGTAAAAGTAAAAGTAGTCAAAAATATAAATAGTAAAGTAAAGTACAGATACCCCAAAAAACTACTTAAGTAGTACTTTAAAGTATTTTTACCCAAGTACTTTACACCACTGTTTTTTGGGGACCCATTAAGACCTCTAGCTTGAAGAAATGAGTGACGTATTTGAAGGGCAGCGGTGCATTTTGAACCGACAACCCAGCACCATTTCCGTTTAACTGAATATTGCAACACGCTTTTTCATACTGTAGGTTTTCTCAGTTGAAATAAAATATAATGGTGATTTTGGAAATATTCTTATGGTGATTATTAGGTTGCATAAACATGATTAGCGCTTTCCCCCCACAATTTTTTCTAAACATGAATAGGTTGCTTCTGCTTGTCAGTCTGTGAGTCAGGCAGGCTGCCTCTGACTTGGGAGAGAAACAGGCTTGCTTGAGCCTACTGGGTTCAGAAAAACAGCCTTCTCTAATTCTGTAGCCTACTAGAAACCAGTTGTTTCAAAGTTTATAATACTACCAAAGTTGTCTTTGAACTGACAAAATTTAGCCCAATATTTCCATTAGCAATTATCACTTGTTTTTCCCGCTCGTCATTTAGCAATAGAAACCTTCTCCATTTGAAAAATATAATTGTATATATTTATTCATACTTATGAATTGACCATGTTAAATGTGAATGTACTTCTTTACTTCTTACAAGTTAGCTCACAGAACTAAGGGTTTTGTTAAGAAGAGAGAGGAGAGGGAGAGAAAAAGAGAAGCTATTGCTCCATTCTCCTTACAAGCCTTGCGCATTTTTCTTTCCCTTCACAAAACACGCCTCTGAGGACCGGGCCAAACCAAGCATAATTGGCGGCGGGGGATCTAATCATAAAATTAGGAATAGATTAGTACTGTGTAGTGTACAGCCACATAAAGCCAGTAGCTACGGTGGGAAAATTATTTCCAATACATCAAATTCATCATGGTATATTATCGGGAGGGTCAAATTGACTGTTGGTGCACAACACCGGAGAGAGGAGAGAGGGCCAGAGGCCTCGACTGTGTTGATCTGGAGCGCTAAGACTGGTTAAGAGAATAGACACGTGTACTGGAGGAGTCATCACAGGGATCTAATGTACCTAGTAAAAGGGTTCACACAAACCCACATACTTAGTGCCATCACAGCGAGGGTCCTGAAGCATATATAAACCACTAGTGCTCCTACAGTACGCCACAGTAATGTTGTGTTTCGCTCAAAGTCACATCAATCACATTTCAGAAAACACATTTCAAACTAACCTTGGCTGGTTTTAGTCTTCTCTATTGAGAGAAGACATAGATTGTGATCTAGGTTTTTGGAAACTGTGTTTATCCTTTCTTTTATGAGAACTCAAAGCCAGCTTCTGTTCTCCCTGCTTGTGTATTTAAGTACATTATCTTTCAATCAGAAATCAGCCTTGTTGAAGATCTCTTGGTGGAGTGATAGGACCTTTGCAGTGCAGCACACATACAAAAACATACAGATACATATACACATACACATACCCATACAGAAATATACAGTGCCTTCGGAAAGTATTCAGACCCCTTGACTTTAAGTTTCAGCCTTATTCTAAAATGTATTACATTCATTTTTTACCTCATCAATCTACACACAATCCCCTATAATGACAAAACGAAAACAGGTTTGTAGACATTTTTACACATTTCTTAAAAAAACAAAAACAGAAATACCTTATTTACATAAGTATTCAAATCAAATCAGATTGTATTTGTCACATGCACCGAATACAACAGACCTTACAGTGAAATGCCAAAAAAAAGAATACAAAAAAAATCACAAAGAAATACTATATAAAATAATACGAAATAAAAGTTACAAATAATTAAAGAGCAGCAGTAAAAATAACAATAGCGAGGCGATATACAGGGGGTACCGGTACCGAGTCAATGTGCGGGGGCACCGGTTAGTCGAGGTAATTGAGGTAATATGTACATGTAGGTAGAGTTATTAAAGTGACTATGCATAGATAATAAACGGAGAGTAGCAGCAGCGTAAAAGAGCGGGGGGCAATGCAAATAGTCTGGGTAGCCATTTGATTAGATGTTCAGGAGTCTTATGGCTTGGGGGTAGAAGCTGTTTAGAAGCCTCTTGGACCTAGACTTGGCGCTCCGGTACAGCTTGCCGTGCAGTAGTAGAGAGAACAGTCTATGACTAGGGTGGCTTGAGTCTTTGACAATTTTTACTGACACCGCCTGGTATAGAGGTCCTGGATGGCAGGAAGCTTGGCCGTACGCACTACCCTCTGTAGTGTCTTGCGGTCGGAGGCCGAGCAGTTTCCATACCAGGCAGTGATGCAACCAGTCAGGATGCTCTCAATGGTGCAGCTGTAGAACATTTTGAGGATCTGAGGACCCATGCCAAATCTTTTCAGTCTCCTTAGGGGGAATAGGTTTTGTTGTGCCCTCTTCACGACTGTCTTGGTGTGCTTGGACCATGTTAGTTTGTTGGTGATGTGGACACCAAGGAACTTGAAGCTCTCAACCTGCTCCACTACAGCCCTGTCAATGAGAATGGGGGCGTGCTCGGTCCTCTTCTTTTTTCTGTAGTCCACAATCATCTCCTTTGTCTTGATCACGTTGAGGGAGAGGTTGTTGTCCTGGCACCACACGGCCAGGTCTCTGACTTCCTCACTATAGGCTGTCTCGTCGTTGTCGGTTATCAGGCCTATCACTGTTGTGTCATCGGCTAACTTAATGATGGTGTTGGAGTCGTGCATGGCCATGAACAGGGAGTACAGGAGGGGACTGAGCACGCACCCCTGAGGGGCCCCTATGTTGAGGATCAGCGTGGCAGATGTGTTGTTACCTACCCTTACCACCTGGGGGCGGCCCGTCAGGAAGTCCAGGATCCAGTTGCAGAGGGAGGTGTTTAGTCCCAGGGTCCTTTTCTTAGTGATGAGCTTTGAGGGCACTATGGTGTTGAACGTTGAGCTGTAGTCAATGAATAGCATTCTCACATAGGTGTTCCTTTTGTCCAGGTGTGAAAGGGCAGTGTGGAGCACAATAGAGATTGCATCATCTGTGGATCTGTTGGGGCGGTATGCATATTGGAGTGGGTCTAGGGTTTCTGGGATAATGGTGTCGATGTGAGCCATGACCAGCCTTTCAGAGCACTTCATGGCTACAGACGTGAGCGCTACGGGTCGGTAGTCATTTAGGCAGGTTACCTTAGTGTTCTTGGGCACAGGGACTATGGTAGTCTGCTTGAAACATGTTGGTATTACAGACAGACAGGGAGAGGTTGAAAATGTCAGTGAAGACACTTTCCAGTTGGTCAGCGCATGCTCGGAGTACACGTCTTGGTAATCCATCTGGCCCTGTAGCATTGTGAATGTTGACCTGTTTTAAGGTCTTACTCACATCAGCTACGGAGAGCGTGATCACACAGTCGTCCGGAACAGCTGATGCTCTCATGCATGTTTCAGTGTTACTTGCCTTGAAGCGAGCATAGAAGTAATTTAGCTCGTCTGGTAGGCTCGTGTCACTGGGCAGCTCGCGGCTGTGCTTCCCTTTGTAGTCTGTAATAGTTTGCAAGCCCTGCCACATCCAACGAGCGTCGGAGCCGGTGTAGTACGATTCGATCTTAGTCCTGTATTGACGCTTTGCCTGTATGATGGTTCATCGGAGGGCATAGCGGGATTTCTTATAAGCTTCCGGGTTAGAGTCCCGCTCCTTGAAAGCGGCTGCACTACCCTTTAGCTCAGTGCGGATGTTGCCTGTAATCCATGGCTTCTGGTTGGGGTATGTACATACAGTCACTGTGGGGACGACGTCATCGATGCACTTATTTGATGAAGCCAGTGACTGATGTGGTGTACTCCTCAATGCCATCGGAAGAATCCCGGAACATATTCCAGTCTGTGCTAGCAAAACAGTCCTGTAGCTTAGCATCTGCTTCATCTGACCACTTTTTTATTGACCAAGTCACTGGTGCTTCCTGCTTTAGTTTCTGCTTGTAAGCAGAAATCAGGAGGATAGAATTATGGTCAGATTTGCCAAATGGAGGGCGAGGGAGAGCTTTGTACGCATCTCTGTGTGTGGAGTAAAGGTGGTCTAGAGTTTCTTTCCCTCTGGTTGCACATTTAACATGCTGGTAGAAATGAGGTAAAACTGATTTAAGTTTCCCTGCATTAAAGTCACCTGCCAGTAGGAACGTCGCCTCTGGATGAGCTTTTCCTGTTTGCTTATGGCCGTATACAGTTCATTGAGTGCGGTCTTAGTGCCAGCATCAGTTTATGGTGGTAAATAGACAGCTACGAAGAATATAGATGAAAACTCTCTTGGTAGATAGTGTGGTCTACAGCTTATCATGAGATACTCTACCTCAGGCGAGCAAAACCTCGAGACTTCCTTAGATATCGTGCACCAGCTGTTGTTTATAAATATACATAGACCGCCACCCCTTGTCTTACCAGAGGCTGCTGTTCTATCCTGCCGATACAGTGTATAACCCACCAGCTGTATGTAATTCATGTCTTCGTTCAGCCACAACTCGGTGAAACATAAGATATTATCGTTTTTAATGTCCCGTTGGTAGGATATTCGTGCCTGTAGTTCGTCCACTTTATTATCATGCGATTGTAAGTTGGCCAATAGTATCGATGGCAAAGGCATATTAGCCACTCGTCGCCGGCTCCTTACCAAGCACCCCGATCTCCTTCTGCGATATCTCCTTTTCTTTCTACTGTCGGGTGTCTGGAGCAAATCCGTCTCGTCCGACTCATTAAAGAAAAATTATTCATCCAGTTCAAGGTGAGTAATCGCTGTTCTGATGTCCAGAAGCTATTTTCGGTCATAAGAGACGGTAGCAGTAACATTATGTACAAAATAAGTTACAAACAATGTGAAAAAACACACAAAATAGCACGGTTGGTTAAGAGTCCATAAAACGACAGCCATCCCCTTCGGCGCCATCTTTTGCTATGACACTCGAAATTGAGCTCAGGTGCATTCTGTTTCCATTGATCATCCTTGAGATGCTTCTACAACTTGATCAAAATCAAATCAAATGTTATTTGTCATACTGTGAATACCGTGAAATGCTTACTTACAGGCCCTTAACCAACAATGCAGTTCAGGAAATAGAGTTAAGAAAATATTTACTAAATAAACAAAAGTAAAAAATTTAATAAAAAGTAACACAATACAATAACAATAACGA